ACATATGTATAATAGAAAATAGTAATAATAAACAACTGAGGAAGGGCCAAGTTTGGGTGCAATCAAACAATTTATAAACTTCCAACTAACAGGAACCAAAGTCAGGGAAATAATTTAAGGTGTAAAACGGTAACCAGAGGATTTCAATCCAAGCAATTTTATATTCACATACATAATATATATGCATTATACTACATACAGTTCATACACTGACATACACGTAAGGTTTGTTGGAAAAACGGAAATCATGATTTGTGGTGTATGGGAGTTGGGGTAGTATCGACCCGATTTTATCTATTAACTATTATCATGCCACATACATACTAAAAAATGTTCCCTGGGTTTCATTAAGGTGCGCGACATACAAGCACCAATCATACAGAGTGAAGACAGCCAGGTAATCGAAAATACTGAAATTCTAAGGAACGCGCATGCCATTTTTCATCAAGATATCTCAACTTTTACTCAAGTTACAGCTTGTACGTGCGGACGGAAGGACAGAAGGAAAAAAAATATAAAACAAAATATCAATAACGAAAAACAAATATTAATAACAAAAAAAAATTAATTACGAAATAAAATTAAAAAAGATTTATAATATATAATAATTTTATTCAAAATCAGCTCTATCTTTTATTTATTAATAATATGTATTTGAAAAAACATATTTCGTTTATAAGAAGCCAGTATGTATACTAAAAAGTAAAGATAAAACAGAGTTCTAACCTCAAAAAACAGAATTAAGCATTAGACGCCACTAGTGTTTTCCACATAGAAAGTAGAATAGACGTTAAAGTTTTGGTTTTCATGAAAGTTTTGTATGAATAATCAAGATATTTGCGATGTCTATGACTTTATTCACACATTCTCGGTTTTTTTTTTTTTTTTTTTTTTTTAATTTTTTTTTTTGACAAAATCCTAAACGGTTTGTAAACACAAACATATGTATGTATAATATATTATTTATACTATGCATAAACACTCTTCACAAACTATTATTCATTTTTATCTGAAATGAAAGCAATGAAAATCATGCACAAATCTATGTGTGTTTAAAAATATATGTTGTATTTTTCGTTTTATAAATTTGTCCATGTTTAAAATACAAGTAATTTACATATAAAACAAAACGTTTACAATCCATAGCTATTATCTTAATGTTTTTTTTTTTTATAACAAACTTAGGTTTTTGTGTAATTAAAAAATAAACTAAATTAAATTAACTAAAACGAGATGTTTGGACCCAAATTATGATATTCAAATAATATTACAAAACATATTTAAGATTTAGTAGCTAAATACAAAATATAAAAATTCTTACGCAGAAATATATGTGTATGTATGTATGGTATATAAAGTTAAGCAATACGTCTTTAAATGATACTTGTGTATATGCATTAAGGCTTGCATAAATTGCTGTTAATTAAAAGAGTTGTAAAATAAAATTAACTTATATATAAATTAACCGTTATATTGCTGAACACCGCAAGTTAACAGTTTCAGGCATTTGCATTCCAATTGCATTAAATAATTTCATTACATATTTGTTTAGTATAAGTATATATATTTGTATATAGTACTTCCAGCACTATACATACATATATGAATTGCTATTTAAATTATATGCTTTTTCGCCACTAGCATTTCTGCTATTGCTGCTCTAACTGATATTTACAAAATATAAATATAATGCGTTATATTGCCGGACCGTTGCAACAATAATGCAATAATGCTAGTAATTGTTTATAACCTTTATTTAAACTACACTTTGTACATTTTCATAATTCACATCACACATACGCACGCACACATACGGTAACATGTATAAAAAGTTTGAAGAGTTACATTTTGTAAATGAAATGCAGCATAACTGCGAATTAGCCTAAGAACTACAAGTACTTTTATTTGTTCGTTTACAAATACCACTTTGCTTATTTACAATTAGCTGAAGAGAAAAGGATTGCGAATTAAGTGAGAGCGACTGTGGCAGGATAAAAGAGAAATGTGCTACATTTGATAAAAAAAAAAAAATTAACATATG